AGTAGGGTAAACACAAGTGTTACCAATGATACTAATTAAGTACCTAAATTGAATGGAGCCTTAATTAGTATCATTGATAACACCTGTGTACCCTACTATTTTATGTCAAAATAGCTGCTGTGAAAAAAGTGTGCATGCAAGAACTTTATTAGGCAAAACTGACATGACATAACAGCAAAGACGCCACCTAAGATGTGAACAATAACAAATGGCACTGATCAAACATCTTCTGATCCGTTTTCTCACCAACCAGGTTTTCCTTTGTTGTGTAACTTACGAATGTGTTTCTCTTGACGAACTCGGCCCAGTGCATGTTGACTCTGCGCAGCTCCTCTGCCAGGCTCCTGCTGGTCTGAGGGTCTGTTGACTCGATCAGGAAGTTGCCCACCTCATTCAAGTGAACCTGTCGTGAGCCCCACTCAGCGATGGACTCTGATGTCACCTTAACAAAAAGAGGAGACGGACGCAGAAGAGCAATATTTTCGTTTTTTCTTTTACACACTTCAATATTGTGTAGGTTATTTTATTATTATTTTATGATATATTTTAGCAGACTTTTTAGTAGATGTTTGCACAAATATGTCACCAAATGCACTGCAGGAAGGAATAATGGAACCAATGACATTATTCTATCGTCTTGGAAGAGTGACAGACATCCTAGTGATAAGACTTTTTCAAGCGTAGTTCCAATGCCACTCACTACATTATATACAATTTCTTTAAATTATGTGTTAATAATACCTCTGGCCTGTGGCCATGGCTATGTGTTACAGAGCCCTGCTCCAGCCAAGCCTGCAGGGAGCTGAGGCCATCGCTGTAGGAGTCCCAGGCAGACAGGATCCGTCCCATGGTGTTCTTGGCTGTGGTCACCTCCTCCAAAACCACGGCGGTGTCTTCCTCCAGCTGCTTCACCTGCTGACTGACGTGGTGATAATCTGAAGCTGTGGAGCAAAGAGAAGCAGCAGTCACACACCCCCAAAATGAATCCACGAAGGTTTCAGTTTAATTCCAAGCCGCAAAAATGTTCATTGGAATTCCACATAAAGTTCCTGGAGAGAACACTTACCGAGGGCAGATTTGCTTGAATATTTCTCAGAAACCTGCTTCAGCTTATGAAGAGCTGCTTCCAACAAAGTAGGTAGCTCCTGTGTTTTTACCAGCTCCTTTGTTTAGAACAAATGTTTTCAACAGGTTAAATTTAAGAATTTTTAAGATCTTTGTGAAGCCATTGTGAATGCAATTTAAAGGACCAGTATGTAGGATTTAGTGGCATCTAGCTGTGAAGTTTCAGATTGCAACTAACTGCTCGCGTCTGTATTTGACGACTTGCGAATGAGAACGGGCTGTGAAGTGTGTAGGAGAAACTATGGTGGACGCGAAACTGGTGAAAAAAGTCCATATTTAGAGAAAGTGTTTTTTTAGTCCGTTCTGGGCTACTGTAGAAACATGGACTCCATGGGAGGTGATACAAATGGCTCATTCTAACAAAGACGCAACAATTTCTATATTATACACAAATATATTATATTCCATTTCTGTCAATAGATCCTACTAAATGTTACACACTGGACCTTTAAGACCGATTTTACCCAATCAATTTTACAATGTGATCAATACAAATTTTCCTCCAAAAACACATTTAAAAGTGAGATTGAAAAGACCTGTCAACAAGACCTGTGGACAGGCTGATTTTAAGTCTGCGGCCATAAGAGCCATGTTTTGGATAGCTGGGTGAAAAACTGAGAGATCACCTTATTAGTAATTCTTAGACCTTTAGCACTAGTTTATGATGAAGTATGAATTTTGCTAAATGTATCATTTACCAATGCTACTGTTAGTGGTATTATGTTTAGTTGTACCTTAGCATTAGTATACAATATAACACATATAACTGCTCCCAATAAATGAAGATGCCGAATCTAAACAAAGATTACTCACATGCCATTCTTGCAGCAACACCCTGACAGCCTCCGGGGAAATATAAGGTCTCTTCCAGACCCGGAGCTTGGTCCTGATCTGCCCCAACAGATCCAAAACTGTGTGGCGGTGCTCCCGGTACTCAAGCTTGATCCCATGGTATTTAGCAGACACTCTCACACTGGTGAACCTGTTGAAGATGTCAACAAGTAAGGTTGTGAGAGCAATCAAAATGAGAAACAAAGCCTAAAGCTGCACATGATCATTTTTGACTCGACTTTGATTCATTGTTTTCGTTCAGGCCCAGTGGATTCTTGCAAATGCTATTAACAGCTCTAGAACGAGCCAGAGGAACCTGATTTTTTGGATATGTCTCATGTACTACTGCCAGAATACAGGGAAAATGTCAGCAAATAGAAAAAGTTATTTTTATAAAAGTTACCTACTGCAGCTTTAATAACTGCAAAGTGCAACAAACTCCTTGTTGGACAAGTTGAAACAGAATCATATGTACACTGTTTTAAATGCTACCAGCCATGAGTCATAGCCAACAAAACTAAAATACACCAGCTTGAAGTTCATGCTTCTTTTGTATCATTTCATGCAAATAAAACAGAAACATCATTTAACATTGTTCTTTATTAGCCTACGTCAGAACCATCTTTGGTGTGTTGTAGCTGTTAAAGAATTGCCTTGATTATAATCAGCTCCAGGTCATGACTTTAGATGTACTAGGACATCTGTAGGACATTCAGCTTAACTCAAGCATTGTTCATAAGGTACATACAATTTCACACACATACATGAACACACAGTCCATGTGGGAAAGTACCCTCACCTCCTCTTTAGTTCATCCATCTTGTCAGTAGGAATCACCATGTTTCCATACTCATCCACATTCTGGAAGGACTGGAAGGTCTTCACATGCTGCGGCATCTCCTCCAGGCAAACCTACAGCAACAATGAGCACATTCACACGCACATTTATGTTTACATCTCCTACAGATTCATAATTTCTGCTCATAAAGATCTACACTTAAATGCTTTACAAATGAAGCAAGAGTATCCACATTATCCCAAAAACAAATGCATTCCAGGAACTGACTTATATGGCAGTTTGTATACATTTTATATTCTGTTTGCCACATTTTCTGAACAGTCAATTAACAAATGCAGAATAAAGGGGTTATTTTGCAGAGGGTATTTATATCTTAAATGTGGAAAACCCTGCCTGAGGTTTTGCCTGCCAGTATTATTGTTTATTTCACTTTCTAAAGTCGTGTAGTTTAAGGACGCAGTAAATGCTCACTTTGAGCAGTTCCTGTTTCTCCCTGGCTTCGTCAGCGGCTCGGCCGTGGTCCGGTATGTCGCCCTCCTCCTCGGACAGAGCCCCCTCCGCTTTCAACAGCCAGCGAGTCACCGTGTTCAGTGGTCCCGGGAGACTCGTATCTAACTTGATTTTGTATTCACGGAGCTGAATGAAAAGAAATAAACACAATGTCTTTCGAATTGCATACAGAAACAAATATAGTGTGTTTGAAGAACATAATATAGAGGTACAGAAATACTAACACCTGTTTTTGGTTGGTTCTTAAAGAGATTTGAGTGAAACTTACCTTTACACTGAGCACGTCCCACGCCTCTCTGAGAGCCCGCTGCTCATCGCTCAGTTTCGGGGTTCGTCTCATCGTTGTCAACAAAGGCATGATCGGACGCCGTTGCTCATTAAAGGACACCAGAAAGGTATGAAATACCTTAGGGATGGAAAATGTCATACTTTTAGTGCCACTCTTGGAAATAAGGTGAACTCAAACAGGAGAAAAATAACTTAAATTGCCAAAGTCAAAGATCCACTTTTCTTTGCTGGACATTGATGATGCACAACATTCTGCAGGAGATCAGCCAGATTTGATGGGAAAACAGGTAGATATGGAATTATAGTACAAAACAAAGCAGAAAAAGCTCATAATAGCTGGAAAATATAATATTTGCAGTACCACTTGTGTGAGACAGAGGCTGCCAATTGTTTATATAATTATAATAATACAATATGAATGTACCACAGTTATTGAGACAATTATGCTACATGTAACACAATGTTTAGGCGTCATGTATCTTGATAGGCGCTAGCTGGCAACGTACATGGTATCTCTCTGAGTAGCTCTCTCCCTCTGTGGAGTCCCATCCCTCCAGCAGCTCGTCGTACGCCTGAGCCAGCCAGCATGTCACTTCCTTTGCCTTTCGATCAGGTGTCCCCTGGCAATGTGGAACACAAAAAACTGTTATTGACTGGAGACCACTGAAAAATGTTAAATCCATATTTATCATGGTTAGTCATGATCAGGCACTAATGGTGGCTTTATTTCATCATTTCTGACAACTAAGACAAACTAGACTGCAACGTAATAGCCACACATGGCTCCATATACAAATCTGTGTAAAATAACTGCAGCTTTGTTTGTGTATTTACATCTATACAAGTGGATACTGTAACCAGTAGAAGACATAACCGATGGACAAAACAATGTCTGCAGAGCTGCTTGACTCTCTCTAGTGCTAAAATACTGTATTTTGTGCAAATTATTTTGTAATTACTACTGGACAATGGTGTTAACAAACCAAAAGAGCTAAGCAAAAAGCTTTCCCACAAGGCACCCTCACCAGTCATGAGATACTTTACACAAAACAAAATGAAGCTGCCAAAATGTGTTGTGCTTGCAGCAAGCCTGTGCACAGCAGAGTACCAAGCCCATACAGAGGTTTGTTTTGGCCACAAAGTTACTTTTTTAATCATAAGAACATTGTAACATGCACAACCTCTGTCCTGTAAATGGGGATGTCTATGGTATGTATATACTGCATAAAGAATGCAGTTTGTAGAAGCATTAAGGTTTATTATTTTGTGCATTTTATGCAGAACAAGAGTGGATATTATTTTCAGATGAGGAATGTTATCCAGACTTTAATTCCTGTGTGCTCCACCCTGCACTGTATCTTGCACAATCATTGCAGGATTATTTCCAAATTCTAAAGTTAAAACCTCTTGGGGGGAAAAGTAACAAGATAAAAGGTGAATTAAACACTCAAATGACCCCAGCAGCCACATCCAGCATGCTGATATCTTGTCAGAAACCCGAGCTGACAGCTGTTTGGTCCACTGTGACTGATCAGTCATGAGTTCTGTGGCAGGCGATACCAGCAGGATCTCAGTGGAAGGAATAGCTGCAGAGTCGCCCCGTGAGCACTTTATTCATCTCATGGGAGGCAGAGAAACACACCCTTGCTGTGGCTTTGGATTCCTTCCCTGAGAACAGGGCAAACTAGTTTAATTCTGCATGAACAGTCCTGCTTTTAACCACCATATGATTTGAAGTTAATCTTGGCTCTTTGCGACTGACTTTTTTATTTGAGGAGCTGCAGTGCCATCCCAATAAACAACTTTCCTGGCATGTTTTCATGAGGTATAATTGCAGCAATACAATCTAAAGTTATTTGTGGTTGCTAAAAAAGGTTTGGTGTGGCTGATTTACGCCGTGTGACACAGCAGTAATGATGCTGACTGATTGCAGACCAGCAAACCAGAGGGTTTCCAAACACTGCATGAATGGAGAAAGACCATGAAGCAGTGACAGGGGGGGTGTGGCACTGATGGAGATATAGTAGATTCAGTCAAACGTCCAAAAAATAGAATGGATATGGGTGTTTTTGAAGTGAATATATATTTTGGAAACTTGCGTGTAAGGCAGTCATTTTGTTTATGTACTATTCTATTAACTATTGATTTTTATTAATTTAAATAATTATAATTCTCATTTTTAACTGTTAATGTAAAGTTAGTTACTCCCTAGATTATCAAAAAATGTTGCTGCAGATTACATCTTCAACAAGTGTTAGTATCTAAAAAACATTATTTCAAAAGGAGATTTTTGCAGACATTTATGATTTATTCTATGGTTGCACTGAATGTATTGCAAGGTGCTGTAACTGGAAGGTAGGGAGTGGGATGAAAGCTTAGGAATGATGTAGAGGTGGGTCGTGGCAGTCAGGTGTACCTGACGCAGAGGTGAAGCAGAAACAGCAGGAGTGTAGTGAACAGGCAGGTTGATAGGAGAAGGACTTTTAGGAAGATTCAGGTATTGTGTCTGGAAGGAAAAAAGAAAGGAAAGAGGGAGGAGAGGAAACAAGAGGAAGAAATGTCAGAAATCCAGAGCAAAAAGCAAAATATTTTAGTGAAAAGATGGTTGGATGTGGCAGAGATACAGTGCTTCTTAACATTTATGGTCACTATAAGCAAATTGAATACAGCTTGGAAACCGCTGAATATACAAATGTTCTACAATTTTACCAAATGTACCAAGTGCAAGCTGTAATTCATTTCACTGCAAACTGCAAATATTCCAGACTGATCACTAAGAGGGCTGATAACTTATTACAGATATATACAGAATGTATCTACATATCTTCTGCATTTATTCCAGTGTTTACAAGAGTTTGTGGCATGTGAGCTGACAGAGAAGCATCACAGCCGAGCAGATACATTTAACAGATACAATACATTTTATTGTTCTACTGGTAGAAATACCCTGCCTCTGGTTTATATCTCCACAACAACTCTTTGATGATTCAGATTCAAAGGACTCCTGCAACATTTTGCACACATAACCATCTTTGTAATCAAATATTGATTTTGGCATCAGTGCAAAATCAACAGTCAGACTCTTTCAGACACACAGATTGGAGCAGTTAAAAGAGAAAGAACCCACTAAGCATTGACTTGAAGGTTAAAAACATCTAGATATTATGGTCAAAAATGGGCAAAGTCAGGATGAAATATAAAACTATTTTAGTTGTCTAAGTTGGATATAACGGTTGCTTTTCTACCAGATTTTGCCTAATTTAAACCTTGATGTCTAGACCTCTTTTAACCTGCAAATCCCCATATCAGTGCTTACTGAGCAGTTTGGATGAGAGAGCTCAGCTGCATCCTAACTGAGGACACTGAACTGCAGTGCAGCTGAAAACATATTTATAAAAATATTTTCTGGGGTGCTTTATGCCTTTATTTGAGCAAAGTTGCCACAGGTCATACTCAAACCCGTGGCTGCTGCAGCAGGGACACCCCAGCTGAAAACATCTTGAGCAGAATCCTAACCTATGTCTGCAGAACCAGGAGCCACACTGACATTAAAACCTTTCTGCAAACGCTGCTGCAGTGCAAAATACAAGTGAGTGATACAGACCTGCATTTCTTCCTCTGGCACTGGCAGGTCTCTGGAGTACTGCAGGAACTGAGCCACGTAGGTCATGATGGACTTCTCATCGGGGTCTCGAACGTCCACATCTGCATCGACATCACAATCCTCCATGATCAGTCTCACACTACAACACCGCCGTCCAAAGTTTAGACTAACACATGAGTAAGCAGGTGGAGTTTAATGCTGGAATCTGAGGAATGGAGGTGTAACTTTTCTGCCTCTTTCAAACATCCGGCTGATAAAAGTCTGCTGTGCAGAGTGAAACAAGCGAAGGGTTTATATGAGGCTGAAGTAAACAAGCAGCAAGTGAGTCAGCAGACTGTCAGATCGTCATCCCACTCGCCCTGAGGCTCACTGGATATGGCACAGCACTCAGCTACACTATGCCCACATTCACAAAGATTCACATGGCACCACATGAATTACTGCTACACCAGTATGTCAGTGAGATACTGAGAAATCTGATTAATCATATTTGGAAAAGAGTGTTTGGTTGTTTGTCACACACCAAAAGGCACTTTTCCCAAAAGGGACTTTCATGGAGACTAGCGGAACTAAAGACATAGAAAAGATCCATGTGACTGTTGGTAAACTCAGAGGGTTTACACAGAGCTTCTGCGTCGGCATAAATTTGCAATTAAAGGGGAAGAAATTGCAAAGAGAGTGATCACCTCCTCTTGATGGTTACTGAACTTGCAGTGCTTTTCAACAAGCATGCATATATATAAAAATGTGTTCAACCTCCAAAGACATTTATACATCTAAATATCTTTAGAAGCATTTAGTTTTCAGCTAATCTCATTTATTAAACTCATTTTGAGGACACTGGCCTGTTTCACAGCGATATGCATCAGCAGGACGACCAATGGCTTTACTACAAGTCAGCACAAACAAATTCTATTTACCTGCAGTCATGTCATGTAAAGAAATGTGTTTATTCATATCTTAAAAACTGTCAAATATAGTTGTTGTTACTGATCATTATTGCAGTAGTAGTTATTACAATTAAATCCTACACACGATTTAGTGCCATCTAGCGGTGAAGTTGCAGATTGCAACAAAATGAACACTGCTTGCATCTATATTTGACTACCTGGGAATAAGAACAGGCTGTGTAGAAGAATCTATGGCTATTGATTTGGATATTAGTCCTTGATTTACGTGCTTCTACCACGAGTGAGTAGGCTACGTATTTAAATTGTTTCCTCCTTGTCTGTTTTTACAACTCGAGTCTGCACAAAGTGTTTTATTTTCAAAAGTGACGGATCCTCTATGCCGTTTCTGTGTCTGATATCCTGCTCTGTGCTGCTTGAGGTCTAGTTACAGTGAACTTGTTTTTTCTAACATCACTAGCATGTGTTAGTATCAGTTCATTCATATCTTTATATTTATGTGTCATAGCAAACCTGAACAGTGTAAACAGAATATTCATAACAAACCCACGTGAAGATTGCAAATGGATATGACTGAGCAGTGATGCATATTAGGGAAACAAATAGATGCTGGAATTTTCATACAGACTCCAATGGCTAACTGTGATAACACATTGCCTTGTAATGACTATACAAGTTCCCGCTGTATGCTCACTGGTTTCTGAAAGCTGAATTACTCACCGTCGGGATCCAGCAGTCTGGGGATCCTCAGCTCTCTCTCTGCGATGCGGAAGGCCTCCTCCAGGTTCTGCTTGTTGCTTCTGGTTCTGGCTTTGGAAAGATCCACCAGGTCAGGCCGCAGAGCGTACAGGATTGCCAGGAAGACCACTCCACTCCTCCAGCTAGCTTTGAAGTCTTTAACATTTAATGTACAGCCAGCTCTGAGGGAGACAAATCATTGTATTACTATTATAATACAGGTCATTCATATTGCAGTTATTAGCATGTACTGCTGTCTGGAACTGACTCTGTAGGGGCTTTAGGATCAAAAACAGGCAAGAAGAAACAGTAAAATACTAAGATTACAAATAATCATGTAAGCCAAGATCCAAAAGACAATGAACAAACAGAAGGAGTTAAAAAATATTTATAAGAGAAAAGTAAAAACCAACCAGTATTGAAGTTAAGTAAAAAACTATTTTAACTGCAAAACATCAGGGACAAAATCAATGGGACCCCATGTTTGCTACTCATATGAAAGGATATCTTTAAAATGTCCATATTAATATTTGTTTGATATATTTTAGTATAAAAAAATACTGATAAATGTGTATCAATGTTTTCATATAATTCTTCAAAATTAGATTATGGGCTATGGGCATCTATAAAAACTATATGCTGTGTACTACAGTGAAACAAAAAATGCTATTAGTGCCGATGTATACATGAATCTGGCGATTACCATTATTGCGGTGGTAGGTTGTAGTGACTCTGTGAGTGACAGTACCATGGGTAGTCTGACTGACGACGTTAGGCATCCTCAGTTACTGATGAAAGTACTTTACATGGATAGCAATTTTAGCATTATCAAAATGTTACATATTAGACATTTGTTACAACAAGAGCCAGATATAGAAAAAAAAGATGATGTACTCATACTGTAATACTACTGTACTATCTAGCTGGCTTATTCAATGAAGAGTTGCATTTTATCAGTACAGACCAGTTATATTATATATAACTTCCTTTATTGATCATCGATCATTATTAATCGCCTCAGCACGTCCAGGCAATCTATGTAAAGTTGAAGGTTGCCAGTACTGTTGGAGCAGTTGATAACTGCACAGCTTCTTTTATACCTCCTAGACATAGCTCTAAAAGTAACGTTATATAGAAAGTAAAGGGAAAAGTAGAAAGTTGTACACTTCTTGCATTCAAGCGCGTGAACACTGTAGAGAGACCCCACTGCAGTAATGGAGATTTCTTAACTTCCGATTCTTTCCCGGATTTCATGTATATAGGAATGTATTTTAACTGATTTTGGCAGGCAAAGCATCTAAACGCCTAGAGCTCAGACAGTAAAACCCTGATCAGGTTTTGGTCTTCTGCCCAGACCTGGAAATGACCGAGAGGTCCCTGTGTGAGGATATATCAGTCTTGACATCACATTCTTGGCTCACAATAGAAGAGTTGCACCAATTAGGCTTTGACAAGCCAATATATCAATGCAACCCATTATAAACCATACACAACACACTGAGATGTAGCTTTGTTCATTGATAGGACTCAGTTGACCAGTGCTTACTTGTGGCACTGTTCCCGGACCCAGAGCAGCAGGGCCTTCTTGGCAGAAACCCTGAAACGGTTGTGGAGCGGGGAGCCTCTGGGAGGAACAGGACTACTGCTGGCTGAGCGGCTCGACAGGGTGGAGCGCGAGTCCAGGCTGGTCAAAGACTCCATGGAGGACTGACGGGAGCTGAACGAGAGGCCACTGGCCAACTCCTCGATCTGAGAAAACCACCAGCACACGGTTTCTGTTTAACATTTCAGCCATTTATATTTGGAAACTTTTGAATCAGTTTACTCAGTTAAAAAGGAGCAAAGCAACAGAAAAAACTGTACATCACAAGAAAGAGGAAGGAAGGGAAAACATTTAAAACGCAGGGAATAAGAAACTTTTACATTAGATTAGAATCCAGTGGGACATCCCTTGGCTTATAAAACGTGTTTTTTGTGTTGTTAAGCTTGAATAAATGTGTTTAATTTTAGCATTCCAATTATTTATCTGCTCCAGTGATTTAGTCTGATTGTTGGTTGGTAGTGAAGTACAGAAAATAAGAGAAAAGGCTGTTCTACATTCCAGAGAAACAAGCGTTTGCCTCAGTGAGTAGAAGGAGAACAGAGAGTTCAGAGTGGAAAAATTAACCAATAAGAAAACAGACAGGCACAGAGACAAAAGAAAATCTATGAAAGTAAACATATTAAACTCACATGATACTGTAGAATGATTGTCCATATGAGGCCCAGGATGATGGATGGTTTACCATCAATAATGTCGGGAATGTTTATGTTGACGAGTTTGATCTGAGGAGAAAAAAGGAAATCTTTAAAACTCGCACAAAGTCCCAATTCATAGGATACGAAGGAAAGAAACGCTCATAGAAATTGAATAATCTCATTATTTCCTTTAAACAATGCCAAAATCAGACGGATGGTGCAGCAGTTACGCACTATCCCTCTGGGTTTAACAATATGAATAGTAAAGTTCTCAATATATAGGTGATTGTATTTGTCTGACAGTTAATTAAAAGGCTCCTTTAGTGTCATTTACCGATTTCTGCTTTAGAAAGGAAAGGGCTTTCTCAATGTTGCTCCTGTGCTGAAACATTCCTCTGCCTCTCTCCCGACTCTGCAAGAGATAGTCGGTCAGTCGGTTCATTAAAACGGTCAGCTGTCGGTTGGAGAACATGTTAAGTGCTGAACTGAGAGGGGACTCACAAGGCGCTGGCCGCTCATCACTTCCAGCAGGTCCAGCAGTTTGGAGCCGTCACGGAAATCATTGAACAGATCCACGACCATGCACGGTGGCCTCCGCTGTCAAAACACACACATTTTATTTTATTTACATTTAAATTTGTGGCTTCAAAACACTCAGAGATGATAACTTAACCAAGGCTGTAACATCTTTTCTGTTAGCAGTCATGTTCTCTATACATTTGGTAACAATTGCTCTACAAACCTTTTGTTTTGAAATGAGAAAACTAAAATCTGGAAACAAGCTTGACAGCAGGTAGTTTTTTCATTTTAAAATTCAAAACAGAAAAAATGGAAAATTGGCCATTTTTTGTTTTCTGTTTTGTTTATTTTCAGAACTGAAAAAAACAGAAATACTACCATTTAAAAATCGGAGTAACAAATGGATGGATTTTTGTTTATGTTTTTATTTTCAAAACAAAAAAAAATGGAAAACAGATTGTTTTTTATTTTTTAGGACAAAAATTTGGGTTAGGGTATGGTCATAAATTGCCACACATACTCTACAGATCTGTTAGACAAAGTAATATGGTTAAAATGTTTCAAATATACGGAATAAACTATCTGTGGGTGGACTATCCAAATAAATTGTTGCTGTAGTGTTAACATTGGTTTCTGACAGAAATCAATAAAGCGTGAAACTTTGGAATTTTCCATCTTTATGTAGCTTGAGCTAAATGATGACTCCTTGTGATGTCCAAACATAACCAATTAGTTCAACTTTACAACACGTGGTGGTCGAGCTAAAAACAAGGCGGTTTGTTAGTTACTGAGAAGTGGACATTCTGGGGATGGGAAATCATCTCCAGATAATGATGATTATTGTAGTTGTACTGTTTGCATCTGACAGGCCAGAAATTAATGTTTTGATGCTCGTCAGCCTTTATTAGACAAATATAATTGATTATTTAAACCACTTTGTCCCAACTCTAAATTAATCAGGACGACACTTACTAATCCACCCCGATAGTCCTCTCTGTATTTCCTGTGATACTACTGGTACTAATTTTCTAGGCAATTCATGTCGTGTTTACGATGATTCAAGCTTTATAATGACGTAGAGCTATTCGTTTATTATATTATATGGTAAATATATTTGTTTAAAGGTCCAATGTGTAGCATTTAGGAGGATCTGTTGGATCCTCCTAAATGGAATATGATATTAATAGGTATGTTTACATTAGTGTATAATCACCTGAATATAGGAATCATTTTTATTACCTTAGAATGAACCTATCTTATCTACAGACACCACAGGTTGCCTTCTACCTACAAACCAAACACTGGCTGTAGATTTTTGTAGGTTTTTTTGCAGGCACTGTAGTTTCTCCTACATACCTCAAAGCCTGTTCTCATTCCTAGCTCAAACACATTGATGGAAGACAGACAGAAGTTGCTGTTGCAATGTGATCTCTAATGTGAACAACCACCAACGGATTAACAATTATCCCCACCATTCCTTATATTGGCAAAGTCCAGCACCGAGTCCTTAGCTGGGGGCACGTCCGGTAGGCGGATCGAGGGGGTGTGGATGGTGGAGGGAAGGGGGAGGGTGGTGGCCGTCTGTTGCTGTCTGTCTGTGTGCTGTGAACCTTGCTCCTCAATGCTATATTTATGGACACACGGTTCCCCACCTCCACCCCACTGTCCTCCACTGTCACATTCACAGCTGACCTCCACCATGAGGCAGACAGAGAGTGAACAATCTGCTGCTGACTCATGTTTGGAGGCAGTTTGAGAGCAAGATAGCGACCTTTTGCAAAATCGCTGTCTCGCAAAGGTCTTTTACCAAATTCAGGCCATGTTGGATTTCCTGTAAACACAAGCTGCCAACAGGGAAAAGCCCTCTAAGGGTAATTAAAAGTAGGATGTGGTCATGTTTTATGTAGTTTAGAGGAAGCTAATAAGAAATTAAATTGTGATGTTTTCCCCCCAATATGTGACAAATAAAGCTGACTTTGACTTTGATGTGCATGTACAATTTTCATATAGCTCACTGAGAGCTTAATTAACTGAATTTCTTGATTTTCCCTTAAGATATAAAAAAATGTGACAGACTGGAAAAGGACAAGAATAACAGGATGTAAAGGGTTAAAAGGGTTCATAGAAATGCAAAACACAGACACTGAAAGTTGCCCTTTGCTGTCAGAGAAGATGCTCTGTTGTGTTGTTTTGTGCATGCAGTGTCTTAGCAACCCTTTTTGCTGTGAGTGGCTTCAGTCATGTCAGATGCACCATCTTTGAATGAACTATTTTTTATATTAAGGGAATACGTGTGAACAGGAGTTGTGTTCCATCAACTCAAGCCCTCACATGTTCCTGCTCACCTGCATTTTGTTATTAAGCTACATCAACTTAGCTTAGGGAATGGAAAATACTGTGTATTAATGACTTTACATGACTGGATAAAACAAACTTATCCGTGAGGGTAAGCTGGGTCATTTCAGCAGTAATGAAGTAAACATTAAACTAGCTGTATGCGTTGAGCTAAAAAGACTCAAATTTTACTATGTTGAGGATTGTTTTTATTGATAACCAAATTTACACCAGTAAGTTTAAACTAATAATGCAGATTAGCTTAAATGTCATGGCTCACCTTTGCCAGCTGAGCATTGACCCAGTTGGTGAAGGTCTTCTTCTGAATCTGTTCTTGTTCCACTGTTGAAGAAGAAGAAACACACAATGCCAAGTTTAACTTATATCATCAACAGTAAATCACAGTTAGTGCACATTTAAATCATAGGCATTAAGGTCATGATGCTATAAAGAACTGTTTATACTGAGTGCAACAGTGAAGTAGTCTCAGTTTCTTTGATTGCTGGTATTATTAGCAACAGTGTGTGTTCTGTATCTCTCACTGGCAAAAACAGCAGTCCACTGCAGGCACCATGAGACTGAAGTAGATTGGACAATACTGTCCTCTTCAGAAAAGTGACAGAAATGGTACTGGGTAACTGACACCAGGGTTTATATCATGTCTTGTATAGTTATTATTAATTTATTTTTAAGAAGAAAATGTTAATGTTAAATGTTAAAATGTTAATCATATCAGTCTAATTTTCAAATATGCTTTCAAACTTCTATTCTGGGAACCAGGACTAGTGGAAATCAGAACAATTCCCACCAGTCCTGGATACGGCTGGACCAAACACAGTGATACGATAACTGTGCAGAGGAGTGAGACCTGAGTGAGGCATGTTCTTAAACAACAAAGATGGCTGACGCTGATGTTATATTTTTGCTAGAAACATCCTAATTTGTCTGAGAACCTATGAACTTGAACAGTAAAAAGTGTAACAAAAGGTTTATGTGGTGGTAAAACATGTTTCCTTTGGAGGGCAACACATCAAGGTTCAACTCAAACTGCTTCCAAGATAGTTTCCAAGTATTGAAGCACTAATCAAAGCACACTTTATGTAACCTGTACCTGTTTATTTGAGTCAACTGAAGGCTTTAAAATAGTTTCACTTTGTTCAGTTAAATCATAAAGGTACATTTCACAAACAGTAGGCAGTTTTGCACACTGATTGTGAAATTAGCCAGGTGTTTAAACCTACAATAACCGGCCTTTTAAAAGCATGTAATTAGTTGTAGCTAACACCCAGGGGTTTAGCCAATCACTTTGGAAAACCTCTGGGCATAATGATCACAAACATAACTTTTTGGTCTTTGTGTTGCCCGAACAAGCAAAGAGCCTCAGTACGTTTTAATAATGAAAGCCAGAGAAAATACTTCAGCACAAACAGAGCTGCGAGCAAGCAATCTGCGAATAAAACACAAACATCCCACATAGATATTCTTACAGAAATCTATACATTTCTCTGGTCTGTATTTGAGTTCTGGTTTGGAGTAATATTTGTCTAACATACATCTATATATTTGCAAGAACATTTTAAAGGCCTTAAAAGGACCAATGTGTAGGATTTTTAGTGGCATCAAGAGGTTTCAGGTGATTATACACTAACGAAAACATACCTATCAATATTATATTCCATTTCTGCCAATAGATCCTCCTACATGTTACACACCTTTAAAGTAGATTTGAAATATAACCAACTATAAATGCAGTTTAACACAGAGGACCTGCAAACATACTGACTTCAAATTCCCTGCAAGTAAATGTCTCAGAATAAGACATTTAATATATTTCTACCAACATATTGAAATGCTTTTAAATATACTGTTGACACATTTATACATTCAAAATGCATTTATAAAAACATGTAAAGTGGGTTCCTTTTACATGCCGAATGCATTTTGAAATATACACTGCACTTTTGTAGCTGCCACCTGTGAATCTGTGGAATTGTATGAATATAAAGGAGAGAGCAGGTGCACATCAGTGAAGAAGAGTATCAGTCGTCTTCATTTGAGATGGAATTTCTTGATTACCTTTAAGGGAAGTTGCAATGTACAAGACTCAGATAATGCAAACACTATAGTAACAGCAGACCTGGTCAGTGAATTGTCCAACACTCACCACTGTAAAGCTCAACGAAGTCATTCAGGTCATTGACAGTATGAAGAGTCTCACATATAATCCAGTCCTCAATCTCCATTGTCCTCGTAAAATCAACTTACTAACTCAATAAACATCTCAGTCAGAGTTTGCCTAAACTTCCAGTTTCTCCACTATTGATCTATCCTACATCAAGATTCCTTTTCTTAAACTACAAATAACATTAAGCTGGTAATTAACCTGTCTGATTATAACAAAAATGGTTGTAAAACTTTAAGTAAAAACCAACCCCAGTTATGAGGCACAAGCTAGGAAAAATTTTCAAAACTGCCTCATTTTTCAGATCTTTAATACTTTAACTATGATCCAGTTTCTCAGTTTCTTTGTTCCCTACAGTAGATAAAGGCGACTGGTCCTTTTTATCGTCCGTGCTGAGCTCCAGCTCTCCTTCAGGCTGCCTCTGAGATTCGTTAATAGACAGCTTACAGGCTATTTCCTATCTTAATATGTTTAACAGCAGGCCGCCTCTGGCTGCAGTTCACTTGCAGTCTAATCTTAATTATGGGGAGCCCCTACGATGACTCAGACATCTTATTATAATTAATCTGGTATCATCAAACAAAGATAAGGGGAGCTGGGAAAGGGGGTTGGTTTTCTTTTAGCAACTTGACCCTCTGAGTTGTTTAACATCTGGATGGAAGCACTGCTGATCACTAATCTTCAAACCAACAAAAAATAAAGAACCTATAGTCTCAAGAGTTCCTGTGCTGGCAGGTGGAGAGGAAGAAGAAACCGGAGAGTTCTGACACACTTGGGAGTTTGCCAGAAGAATTATTTTAAACAAACCCATTTGGTCACTGAAGCCACGGCACTTTAAAGTCCGTTCCAGAGTGCTACCATCTCAGCAGCCCCTGAAATGAATCCCTGCTACCTCAATAGCAGGAAGCACAAACAGTGACCACTTATAGAAGTCATTAAATCTTAAATCTTACAGATTTTCACTTTCAAATGACCACATTACCCAAGAAATAATAATTAATTTAATTTATGTATATTTTAAATAGAGCTGAAACATCATGTTCTGGATGTAAAAGTACAGTTTATGGTCATGGTTGTAGAACAGTGCAAAAAAAGTCAATTAACATCCACTCAAAAGCACTATGTACTAATCACAAAACAAAATATATTTAAACAGTGGTGAAAAGTGACTGAAACCAATTGACATAATAGAGGAAAGGGATTCAGTCACCTATATAAGTCATTATAAAACCACTGCCTGTTTTTGTGCAAACCTGTGATATTTATTATCTAAGAGGAGGCAATATTATCAACATAAGCACACACATTGACATACCGGTATTTCCTGCACTGTTATGGGTCACTGAAGAAGTGCATACATGCATGACTTTGTAGGAAAACTATTTTCTCCCTATCAGGTCCAAAACCAACCCAGGCCCTAAAAACAAACTTTCCTTCAAAAGAGAAAGAAACCTATATTTGATTTTTGATTTACTTGCTGATAAAAAAAAAACCCAATGCTAAATGGCTAAAGTATTGTAGCCTACAATTAGTTACAATTTCTCCATTCCTACTGTTATCTTACTGACAAATGGTGAGACTTTCAACACTCGGCTTGTGTGTATAGTTGTTCTATATCAGTAAACGTCACCACCACAGAGACAAATAGAGAAACTCACCCATGATGGGATCACTCATGCTGATTCAGCAGGGAAAGTTACCAGGTCAGAAACCCTGGTGCATAGCAAACTTCTCTATCTAATAAACATAATTTACCCCACCGACTCTAAACACGGCAGATCCATTATTTCAGCAGGAGAGTTGTGAAGAAAAAACAGCTAGTTTGAGAGTACTTCTTATCTAACCAGTTAACAGTCTATACTTCCAGCCTGCGGGGGAAGCAGGTGAGATCAGGCAGGCCCCGCCTCCTTTATATCGGGCTTACTAAGGCTTCAGGCCTGCCCAAACAAGACTTGCAACAAGCTAGTGCTCCTGCAGCCTCCTGGGAGCTTACTGCTACGTAAGCTAGAAAATGTGTGCCAAATCCAAATGCTGTGAAACAATGCATGTCCTACCTAACCTAACCTTACCTCTCCCAACCCCTGTACACGAGTGGCCCACCAGATTGGAAACTACGACTGGGAACATTACAGATGCTGGACTGCTGAGATGTGATGTTGAGGTGGAGAAGTCTGTGAGAGAAATCTCACTTTGTGGTCCAATAATTAGCGTCGCTGTCGGTTTCTAATGTCACTTACTGTGTAACTTCTGGCTGTTGCATTCTTATAAACAGCATGAAACAGAACATTGCATCATACTTCAAAGGATGGCATTAGGATTTGTTTGGATAATATATTTTCTGTTTAATTTGCTGTGTTATTTGCCTCTGTGTCCTGTGAAAAACATTCATTTTTCTTTGTTTGAACATGAGTCATTGTTTGACTTACATATGATTATATGATGTTGACATTCTTATGACTCATTAGAGATAAGACAGCACGGAGTTACACAAGTTATCAACATAAAGACATTCATGTAATTGAGCCTTTATAGTTTCCTACAGGACCCCTACCTGAGGATATCTGATGACACTGTGCACCTTTTTAATACACTTCTTAAAAATCACTTCCTGTCTCCTCCATGTTGTTTTTAATTGGACTATTAATTACAGTATTTCTTGTTTGTTGTTTTTACTTTTGCTATATTTTCTCACATTATGCTTTAATAGATGTTTTTTGTGAAGGACTTGAAAAGAGATAAATGATAATGATAACAGTTTGTATCAATACTTTAACATATCAAATATTTATTTATTCTGTGTCTGACATTTCAGTTTTTGTTATTTATTGTTTCACTCATTCTTGATTTGCTTGTACTGTGGATTGTTTTAAATTCTACTTATTTTTAAGCACTACATTAGGGCTGCACAATATGGCACAAACATTTTTAAATATATATAATGTATATAACAATTTCATTAAAATCATGATGATGATGAATACTAATAATGGAGTGGTTTCACCTGATAATAATCTAATGATAAGGTATCCGAAGTGAAGTAACAGTCACAAAGTCTGCATGAAACATCGCGTTTGATCTCTACATGAGACACATCCTTCCTAAGCACTTTTGGACAACAATCTTGAACCTACTTAACTGTTTTGACACAGTTAATCACTTTAAAAGCATCACGTAATAAAAGCAGATTACATGTACTTTGCATAAGGAAGCATTCTTCCCAGCCCTGTCGAATACACCCAGCATTCACACACAGTATGAGCTATTTTTACTCACATTCTTTCATCATTACGCTTCAAATACACACAGAAAAAACAAGCCTTTCGCACTTATTTAATAAGCTGGATCGTCATGGGGACGTGAGGGTTACATCATCCATCCTGCACATTGTACCACCTGGAAATGACATAGCTGGAAAAGCGTTTACAAGGCTTTCATTAAAATAAACCCTCTGTGTTCTAAATGTGGGGAGTCATGTGCTAAAAATAGTTGAGTGGAGAAGCTTGCAAGAATGGACCCAAAAACTAAGGAGAAGAACTGAGGTGGGTGGATAGAGAAGGACAGGCCGACAGGGATATCAGGAAAATGTAGGAAACATCCTGAAACAATCCACATAACAAGGTAGAAAGGCAATAAAAAGAACAGAAATAAAGATAGGAGACAAGATCAAAAAACAAAACTGCAAAGGCCATTTCAGAGCCTGTGCTGCCATCTGTTCATAGTGTAACCATCACAAGGCTCAAGAAAAGATATAGCAGTGTCAGACGCCTGTCCACACTGTGACCTCCCCACCAGAGAATCAACGTTAACAACAAACCAGGTCTCACTAATAAGCAAAAGAGCAGAAATACGACGCAGTGGACTTCAAGCTGGAATCAAAACCTTCCTGCAAATGTCATACATACAGTGAACACTGAAACTGAAAGTGGCACATTGCTTAAGCCACATGCAATGAAACGAGTAAGAAGTTGCAATCCAGATGCACAACACCATCTAGGACCAGTAGACCCTACCTGGAACTGTTTCTCCAGACAACCTCCTGGGGTTACAGAAACCCTTCCATCACAATACGGTGATAATGGTGTGAATCTATATTTGTAAAACGTGGAATTCTGTCACAATTTTGTGTGTAAGTCATTTGAATTTAGTGTTTTTGAAAGCAGTGATTATTTTTCATTTGTTTAGTCTATAAAATGTCAAAAAACAGGAACAACAATGTGCTTCACATTTCATGAAGGTAACATCCAACAGTCCAACGCCCAGAGGAGTTCAATTGACAATGATGCTAAACAGAGAAAAGCAAATTTTTTTCTTATTTAATGAAACCAGAGAAAGTTTGGAATTTGGTCTGATAAATGCCTTACACAATTAAAGCTATTATATGTAACATTTCTGCTTTCTAAAATCTCTAAGAAACACCTAGAGTCATATATTTTGTTAGTTACACAGCCCCATATGTTCAAACACTGTTCAAACTCAGAAACCTGTAACTTTATTCAGGAAACAGTGCGTTTCACTCAGTCGCCTGTCAATCATTTAGTTTTAACATTTTGAAATTAAAAGTTTTATGAAACCAGAGTTCAAACAGCAAAATCTTACAGATAAAGTGACACATTTGAAACACTTGAAATGCTGAGAACTGATGATATATGTCGTCCATACACGATCAAATAACAACCCTACAGTGCATCAGTTTTGCTTCAGATGTTTCAAAAACGCCCTGGGAGACGGCGACTTAATAAGCGAGCAGCAGTTTATTATCTCCTCCACCCTCCTGCTGTCTCCCCGCGGAGGGCTCTTTGCGATATGACTCACGTCTCTCTGAGAGTTCAGTTTCAGCAGATTAAAACAAGCATGACCTCAAAAAAAAAAAGTGACAAAAGTGAAACAGGACAGAGCCAGCAGCGGACTGAGACAGAGTCATCACAGTGCTCCCGTGAGTGAGACACAAAACTGAGGCTTAATACTTATTATGTTGCCATAGTAACCAAGATAAAACAGTGAAATCAAGACATGGGGCTTTTCTTTTTACAGTTGCATGACCTCAGACTTGTCTCAGGTTGAGCAGAGACCAGAAACAATGAGCCTTCACTCAGTCTAGCTTGAATGCTTGTTGAAGTAAATCACCAGTCTATAAAAGCACCACGGTTTTACTGTGATAACCTAAAACTGAGAGCAAAAAAAGCCCAAAAAAGACCTGCTCTGTTCAGATACCTAAAAAACACAAACATTACTGCACTGTAAGCGGAGACGGACTGACCCTGCAGCAGCAAGTGGACGTTGTCGATGTCCAGGGGGATGGACCCCCTTTCCACCAGGTCATCTCTGGAGTAGAAGTCTGACGACATACTTTCTCATCCACAGCGTCCCGGCAGCATGGCACCGCTGTGAAAGAAAGAGAGGAAAGAGAAGTTTAACACTATCTCTGCAGGGATAAAGGTCTGATCCCGCTGTGTTAGAACATCTGGATAAAGCTTAAAGCTCACTTTCTGTCCAAAAGATATTCTAATATCAATGCAGGATTAATAAAAGTACATATATTTTAGTATCTATTGCAGAGGTAGAATCATTGTTTGCAGACCGTGGTGGTTCTTGCCACAATGATTGCAGGCATTGATTGAACTCATCTACATTTGGAATAGTAAAATCAGGATACTACACTAGATACTGCCTAAAATACGGTATTGGGTATCGGTGTCTCTGTGCACCGACCCAACCTGATTTGACCTGTTGCATTTAAGAGCATGCATGAAACAAGGAAACAGTATTGATCAGTATAGATTTTAAAAAATGTTGCAATGAAGCAAAGAATTAATAATTCCCCAGCGTATTGTGAAAATGCAATCAGTACCATTGCAGGCTATTTTACATGATGCACAAATAATTAACCCAACATGCAAAGCCGATCAATGGCCACTACAATTCAATGACCTTTGTCTAAAAGTTCTTTACAGGGTAGCAGAAGGGTTTGGACCTTAAGCACAGCAAACACACACACACACAGGAACAAGTCCAACAACTTCCAACTTTTTCAACAAATACAACAATACAGTCCAGTGGAGCTTATCATCATTCATAGAGCAATGAAACACTGTTTTGTCAGTTAACATTAGGTGCTGGATGAAGGGTTCTGGGCTTGTCTTGTTCTGTCTCGCCCTAGGACATAAATAAGTGGGGTGAGAAAAATGCGTGACATTTAAAAATCTCTCCAAATTTGCCTGCCTAAACAAATCACACTGTGAAAAACGAAAAGGTGCTTCTGATTTGACTGAAGCGTCCTTCTCTGCTGAACACAAACGTGACTGACAGTTTAGGAGAATGGACAGGTGAGTGAGGCTAAAATAAAACAGTGTGAAGGAGCACTAGGCCTCACCAATATAGCAGCAAACCAGGTCAAATAGTAGCTGTTGGTTTGTTTTAACTTCCCTGTAGCGCCAGGGGGGTGGGATCTCATTTACAAATATGTTTAATCAACTTCCTGGTAACTTACTACCTGAAGCAATGAACAAGTACAAAGATGCATCTCTATGTACAGTATTCTTTGCTAGGCACTGACAGATATGAGGTCATTAGAAGGTCGAAGCCATATTTATTCTCATCAGGCTAAAAGGGGTCCAACTCAAAAGTGTCAATAAAACGAACTAATAAGCACTCAATTATGCAGATTTATATCATTATAATCATAAAAACATGGGCAATTATTGGTGCAGAGGCAAAAATGTTAATAAATGTTATGGGTAATTTTTAGAAAAATATTCACCTAATATTTACTAATCAGCAAAACCTTAAATTAAATTGGATATGCCATTAGATTACCACAAAAATCGAAATAAGAAAGGCCAATACACAGGCAGCAAGATACAAGCTCACCAAATAGCCTGCTGTAAGGTTAGCTACACATAATTATTCTGGTTGGTTTCTGTCTTTCTATATTGGATTACCAATTACCAGTATGTAAATGTTGCGTACTGCAGCTTTAAGACATATCTCTTTGAATATAGCATCATTTTATGGGGACAAGAAACCCCTAAGTCCAAAGTATATAGATAATGACAATAACATGTGTATAATCTGTATCCTCCTGTCAGTACAATAAGCCACTACAAACCTATATAAAATAACCTGTCATGCAAAAAAATAGATAAAAATACAGTGATATACCGTGAAACCACCAAAATCTGTGATACAGCACTGTGTTAAATTAAATAATTTGGTGCAATGCATCTGGCCTTCAAGTGCTCTACACAAGAGTGCTGCAGCAGTTAACACGTGCTAAAAACACAACCATAGATAAGGACCAGTGGGGAAGGTTGAACCACTATAGCACGGCATTTGAGCTATCCCAAGGCTTCACGTCAGCTGCAGTGACCGGGGGAGGTGAGAGAGTTGGTCGACAGGGGTGAGAGAAAGAGAGGGATGGAGGTAGAGAGAGGAAGAACGAGCAGGAACAAGGGAAGAGAAAGATAGAAGGTGCTGTAAATAAAAAATAAAAAATAAATAAAAAATACTATATATATATACTACTATATATCACACATATATCATTTATAGGAGCTTTTATTGCTTCATATTTGTCATTGTTTTAAACCAATAAAACTAACTGTAAAAGGTTGTTAAGATGTCAAGTAAACACTAGACATCTTAACAACACTTCTGTATGAGTCACAGCAGTCTCTCAGTGATGTATCTCTTCCTTTCCAGTGAATTTGAGTTGTTGCCAGATAAAGAAACATAGATATCTCATTGCCTGCTGCTGCACAAAATTTGAATTGAATCTATTCCTACAAGTAACGAGTATCAGATTCAACTCCTCACATTTAAATAAACCAAATTTAATGAAAATCGGTTCAGAATAGACAGAGAAACAATCGATTTTGTAGTGAAGTCTGCATCTCTCAGTATTGTTAACTAGATATTGACCTCCCCAATATGGCGCCTGCGTAGACTCACGTCAAATCAGGAATGCCGTATCTGTGTTTCTATATCTATGGTTACTATCAGGTCAAAATATACATAGGACAGAGGAACCACCTTTTTACCTAAAGCAAAATATATTTTTATTAAAAAAAGTAATGTGCTATGATTGTTGATTTGGGTGTTTGAGATTGTATGTGATTATTGATTGTTGGTGTTATCAGTATTAAAAAATCACTTTACTATCAATTTGTCTTTATTGGTAATGTTTTGCTGCATTTGTCTGATGTCACAAGAGAAGAATACATTTCCAAAAGGACAAGAAACTAACTAAAAGAGAGTGGGAGAAAGACAGGAAGACCAGTCAGGCACAATGAAGGAAGACAGATAAAGAGATGAAGATGCAAAATTTGGGTTAAATGCTGCGGAAGAGAATGAGAGAGAGTGGCAGAGAGAGATGAACCTAAAAGAGATGCGAGCAAGTCAGAAAAAAACACTTATGAGTGAGCGACAGAAGAGACAGAAACAGAGAGCGAGCCTATGACAGAGTTTCCCTGAGTCAAAGTCACAAGTCACTCCTGTCAGCTCTAATTGTGGGACCGAGGCGGACGGCAGGGAAACACACTGCTGTGGAAAAAGCGCAGGGAGGGGGAACGTCATGAGGCCTCAACACCAGCTTTACACGCTTTTTAAATGTATTTATGTGCGTGTTCATACAGCGGAGGCACACACACATTATTGTTTAGCCTGTGGGGAGGTTGACGGGGGAGGAAGGGAGGGATGCATTCAATCACGTTCACGCGTCAGAGCTCCACACCTCAGCTGATTTAACAGATCACTCAATAGCAGGTATGTCTTATGAGAACTACATGAGGAATTCTATGTCTGTTACTTCTCTGTGCCATAGAGATGCAACAAGTAGACAATTAACAATTACTTGATGGACAGATTAAGAATTTTGACAACCATTTTGATAATCAATTAATCTTTAAAATAATCTTTCATGCACAAAATGGAAGAAAATGCTGTTTTCAACCTCTCAAATATGGAGTTTTCCTGCTTTGTTATATATCATATTAAACTGAATATCTTTTCAGTTTTGGACTGACAACAAGACATTAAATGGCCTTGGGATTTTATAGTCCAAACAATCAATTGATCACGATTAATCTAGAAGATAATTGCAGATTAGTCATTAATAGAAATGATTATTAGTTGCAGCCCTACTGGGACGAACACTGACAGTTTGTACAGTAGTTACACGCCTGTGGAAACCACATCTACCACATTCCCAACAACAACAACAACTTTCTCTGCTGGTGCTTCCCTCTCATCACCATCAGTGTCGTGACTCCCTCGGTCAAAACAACACACTCTCATTAGCTCTCTGGAAGTCAGTTCCAGCATGTCTTTGTGCTCTTTGTGTAAGCCTGGGAGATAAATCAATACAGTCGGTGTGGCTGAACCTGTCACACGCAGCATTCGCTGACACACCCTGGAACATATGATAATAGCTGAAGGGAGAGGTAATCTCTGCTTTGGTGATTTGGGGACAAATATCCTGGAGGAAAGGTTTCCAGTGTCCTCTCATTGTGATCTCTGAACATTTTGATGAGGTAACGTCACACTGCACTGAGATCTGCCTTGGGTGAGCTTCAGCTCTACAAATACTTATATTTAACAGAAAGATTAAGAGCAACAAAGATGCAGACTAAAGCTTTGTTGTGCAATGTCTCATCCTTATCCCATTTGGCCCTCCAAAAAAGAGCTACTGTCTGAAGCATGTAGCAGATCTCATATTGCAGACCCCCTCGCCTCACCCTCCCGTTCCAAGCCTGTAGGAGTAACTTCGCTGGCTACAAAACTCTCGGAAAACATGAAACAAAGCCCTATCTACAGCCTGTGTTTGGTTTGTCTGTTCTGAGCTACTGTAGAAACATGGAGGTCCAACATGGCGGACTGAAAACAACTCATTCAAAGGTAAACACAGCAGTCCCTATATTCAGGTGATTATACA